CTTCCCAAAAAACCACCCGGCAGATTCTGGTGGTGAAAAGGAGCTCGGACACATCCCGGCAAAGGGCAGCGGGAAGAGCCAAGCCCGTGAAAGGGTGGAATTAGCGCAGCGGGAGCGGGCAGGGCACCCAACAATGGGTCCCTTTGTGCGGGAGGGCACCGGGGGAGAGTCGGTGGCACAGCCACGGGAGCTGGGGCTGCTAAGGTTTCACCGGGAATTGTCCTTCGGGAGCTGGGGCTGCTCAGGTTTCATCGGGAATTGTCCTTCGGGAGCTGGGGCTGCTCAGGTTTCATCGGGAATTGTCCTTCCCAACCTTGGCTTGCAAAAGCCCTGCCTGGGAAAACTTTTAAGTGGAATAGAAGCTCCAGCATCACCCCGTTGTGGCAACTCCTGCTCGGCTGGTTAAAAACCTCAACCATTCCAGCCCCCCGTGTTTTCCATGTGGAGACCCCAAATTCCATAAGCAGCCCCCAAATCTGCTTTTTGACAGGAATGGGGAGGCTCTTCAGGCACTTGGCAGCCACAGAGCCATTTGGAAGCTGGAATGTCCCCATTCCCACATTCCCATTCAGTCTTGGCTGGTTAAAAACCTCAGCCCTTCCAGCCCCCTGCATTTTCCACATGGAGAACCCAAATTCCATAAGCAGACCCCAAATCTGCTTTTTGACAGGAATGGTGAGAAAAAAAAGCACAGAACCAAAACAACCAAAGAAACCAAAAACAAACTCCCCAAAAATCCTCATCAACTTGTAAAAGTATGGAAGCTAAAAAACAGCCTAGGAGACAAAAAAAAAAAAGTATATTTATAGTGGAAATGTGAAGCTACACAAAATGAGACCACAGTAAACTGGAAAAGGTGCACACTTACCTGGATTGCAGAAAACTGGCCACTGGAACACAGGAAACATTTGGGCTGCAGAGTTTAAGAAAAACTTGGGCCATTTTTTCTGACTATTGCACAGTAACTTGAACGGGATTTAATTCAAGTTACTTTTAATACAAGTTACTTTTAATTCAAGTTACTTTTAATTCAAGTTACTTTTAATTCAAGTTACTTTTAATTCAAGTTACTCCTTCCCTGTGACCCCCATGAGCTCCAGCAAAGACTCACCCAACTCAATGAACTAAAAAGACAATTAAACGAACTAAAGGTGGGTCGTTTCTCTTTTTATTTTCCTTTCCCTCAGGAGCAGAACAAAGCCCTGGCTCAGTTCCTGCATTTCCTGCACACGGAAGGTTCGGGGGCGAGCTCTGAAGAGGAAAAAAAGAACATTTTAGGAAGAAAAAGGAGCTCGCCCAGAAAAACGTGTGGAACGTCGGTGCCCTCTGTTGGCGCCTGCAAACGGGTTTTTCCTCTCCCGGGTCTCCGAGAGGAAAAAGAAGGGGGAAAAAAATCGATGTGTTGGACACGGGGGGGCTTCCAAAAACACCTGGATGTGGCACTTGGGTGGTGAGATTAATGGTTGGACTCGATCTTGGAGGGCTTTTCCAGCCTCAGGGATTCTCCAGATCGCGTTTTAACCCTTTAAAACGTCAAACTCTTTAACTCTTTAAAACGTCAAACTCTTTAACTCTTTAAAACGTTAAACAATTGTTTGGACAATTAAGTTGAATGAAACGTCGAATTTCTCAGTTCTCCCCGTTTCTAACTTTTGCTTCGCCTCTAAAACCTTCGGGGTGTTTTTTCGGGGAGATTTTCATTTTCTCCTTTGAAAAGAGATTCAAGAGAAAAAAAAACAAAAACAAAAAAACAACTTTTAGGCATTTCACTGAATGCCAACAGTTTGAGAGAGAACCCTTTTTATTTTACCCTCCAGCCCAGATCGACCCGCAGTTTAAAGCAGGACTTTAAAACTTGTCTTGGTTTGAAATTGCCCCCCCCGGGAGCCGGGGGGCTTAGAGGTGAGATGATTTGTGTGATAATTGAAATATAATTCCCTTCCCCTCCCCTACTGAGTCTTGTGCTGTGCCTGGAAAACCCCTCTCCCACTGGGGTGAGTTGTGGGAGGGGGGCTTGGCCTTGGAAATCGGATTTTTGGGGGTCTCCAACCACCACAAACCCCCCTAAACTCCGCGATTTGAGCTCAAAATTCAGCCACCGTCCGAGTCAAACATCAGGGCAACGGCACAATAAATATTGTTCTTCCTGCTGGAAACTGAAACTCTCTTTCCAAGCTCTCAGTTCTGAAATCCTCCAGCGGGGTTTTCCCTCGGAATTGGGATTTTAAACAGCCAGGAAAAGGGGTTGGTTTTCCCATCAAGGAGCCAGGTGGTTGGGCAGGCAGAAAGTGGAACTGCTCTTCCAGGTAGGGCGGGAAAAATCTGAATTTCCATGGAATAATCAGGCCCAGCTCAGCCTGTTTCAGTCTTCACTGACCCCTCAACGCCCCCAAAAAGCCTCGTGCACCCCAGCCAGGCTTCCCCCGGGCACTCAGAAATTATTCCTGGTGCTGGGAGCCCCCTTGGAGGGTTTCTTACCCCAAAAAGTTGCTGTTTCTCTGCAGGAAACACTTTGTCAGCCGCGGTTTCCTGCTCGTTTCGGGGGAGGGAAGGGGCAGGAAATGAGAGAGGGGGAGGCAGAAAGGGAAAGAAGTGCAAGTGCTGAGAGGCACATTCAGGGACACAAGGGCTGGGGTGAAAATTCGGTGACAAAAGAATTCAGTGACAAATTCAGTGACAAAAGAATTCAGTGGAAAATTCAGTGACAAAAGAATTCAGTGACAAATTCAGTGACAAAAGGATTGGGTTGAAAATTCAATGACAAAATAATTCAGTGGCAAATTCAATAGCAAAAGAATTCGGTTGAAAGTTCAATAAAAAAAAAAAGACTTTGGTTGAAAATTCAGTGACAAAACGATTCAGTGTCAAATTGAACGACAAAAGAATTCGGTTGAAAATTAAATAAAAAAAAAAGATTTAGTGGCAAATTCAGGGACAGAAGAATTCGGTTGAAAATTCAATGACAAAATAATTCAGTGGCAAATTCGATAGCAAAAGAATTCGGTTGAAAATTAAATAAAAAAAAAAGATTTAGTGGCAAATTCAGGGACAGAAGAATTCGGTTGCAAATTCAATAAGAAAAAAAGAATTGGGTTGAAAATTCAGTGAAAAAAAGAATTTGGTTGCAAATTCAGTGACAAAAGAACTTAGATGAAAATTCAATAACAAAGGAATTTAGCTGAAAATTCAGTAACAGAAGGATTTGATTGCAAATTCAGTGACAAAAGGATTGGGTTGAAAATTCAATTAAAAAAAGAATTGGGTTGAAAAGTCAATAAAAAAAGAATTTGATTGAAAATTCAGTAACAAAATAATTCAGTTGAAAATTCAATTAAAAAAAGAATTTGGTTACAAATTCAATAACAAAAGGATTTTGGGGGGAGGATGTTGCTGGAATAACCAGAATTCTGTAACCGAGGGGATGGATTGGGAAAGTCAAACTGAGGGATAATGGGAGAACCTAAAAAATAAACCCCATTTTCCAAATTCCTCCTGACATCTCACAGGCACTTTGCTGAATTTTCAGTGAAATTTGTCAGGAATAAAATAAGGAAAAATTTGTCAGGAACAAAATAAAATGAAATTTGACAGGAATAAAATAAAATAAAATTTTCAGCAATGGAATATTCAGCAATAAGGGAATATTCAGCAATAAGGGAATATTCAGCAATAAGGGAATATTCAGCAATAAAACCATGCCCATGAGGGGTAAAATGAATCTTTTATTCAGGATTTCCAAGACCTCCTCGGGGGAAGGGTCAAGAAAGGCCAGCTGAGAGTGTCTGGAAAGCTGGGAGGCAGGATGAGATTCCTCAAGAATCCAAGGAGATGTGGCAGTGTGGGAATGTTGGAGAGCCGGGAATTCCTCAGGATCATGATGGACAAGCTGAGTTTTAACTAATTAGCTCTTCCTCTCTGACATTAATGAGTTGTGGACTGGACTCCCTGAGTCACCTCAGTGGCATGAGATGATTTTTAAGGTCCCTTCCAACCCGAACTGGTCCATAATTCCATGGATCCAAGAGTGATCCAGTCCCTCTGGGCTCGCTGGGATAACAACCTGGCCCAGGTTTTAGGATTCTCTGCCTGTCATTCCTCCTTGGAATAATCCCCTCTGGGGTGATTAACACCAACTCCATCATCTGGCAGGGTTTAATTTAGGATTAAATCCTGTTCCTGGGATCTCTGAGGAGGGAGCTGATGCTGGGGCCGTGATGGGAAGGATTTATACCCCCCGTGTGGAGGCTGAAAAGTTATTTTGGCAAGTGAAAAGTCACTTCTGAAACTCAAAAGAGTCGTTTTTGCCTCGAGCTGATTCTGTCAGGAGTGTCCAACCCCAAGCAGCTCCCACTAGAAGGCAAAAAGAGCTTTGAATGCAGTCACACAGCACGAAAAATAATTGTATTTAAAAAAGACTCAACTATTTGAAGCCAAAGGGTAGAGCCTTGTTTGAAATCAGTGTCAGAAAGCAGCCAGCTCCAGCTGCCCCTCGAAATTCGGGCAGAATAATTCATTTCCAGCTCCAGGAAACTGGAGGAGCACTAATGTAAGATTAAAAAAAAAAAGCTTTTGTTCTTTTTCTTCAGGGGCAGGGGGGAAAAAAACCCATCAGTGTTGGGCTTTTCCCTGTTTTCCACTGTCTTTTCCTGCTCTATAAACTCAGTCAAGCCAATGTCTTCCTCTGGGCAGGTTGATCCTCACTTGAGGTGTTGGGAAGTGTCCCTTTTGGGAGCCAATATTCCAGGCACAGGGATTGCTGAGGGACAGGACAACAAGAATTACTCCCCCTTTTTTTTTTTTTTAATCCCTGGTTTCCCTGCAAATTCCGTGGCTTCCCAAGGGAACCTCTGTGCCCTGAGAACTGGGCCTGAGCAGCACCTTCTGCTGGGATGGCAGAGGAGGGGCTGGGATGGGGGCAGAGGAGCACCAGGAGGGCGGTTTGGCGGGAGGGAAAAGCTCGGGGATAAATAAGGGAATAAGAACATCCCTTCTCCCTGTGCCCTATGCCCTTACTGTGGGCATCGCTCTGGAAAAGGGAAAAGCTGGGAGAGCGCCCTCAGGAACGAATGCCAGCCTGAATCAGTAGGATTTTCATTTCCCAAAGCCAGGTTTGTTGAGAGCAAAGCCCCAAAGTGCCCCAAAAAGCCGCTCCTCCTCCTCTTCCTCCTCCTCCTCCTCCTCCTCCTCGCCGCGGGTCTCCCGATGCTTCACAGCCCATCCCCTTCCTCCTGTTCCTTTGGGAAAGCTCAGCTCCCCGTTCCCACGGCGCCCCACAGCAGTTTATCTGTTGGAGAGCTCGTTGGAGACTTTGAGGGACAGCATGGAGAGCTTCTCCTCGGCCGTCTTTCCTCCGTGCTCTTCCTCGGGGAACTGGATGCTGGAGGTCTCCGGGAGCTGCGGAGCCGCCGGCGGCCTAGGGAAGTGATGGTCCACGTCTGCAGTGAGAACAAGGACAGCCACTGCACCCCCGAGGGTCTCCACACACCTCGGGGGGCCCAAAGACCTTCCCAAAAAGAGGGAAGGATGGAAGTGGTGGAATCGTGGCGCGGGTTGGGTTGGAAGGGATGTTCAACCCTCCCCGCGCCTTCCCTTAGAGTAGGTTGTTCCAAGCTGGCCTTGGACACTTCCAGGGATGGGGAATCCATTCCAGGGATGGGGAATCCATTCCAGGGATGGGGAATCCATTCCAGGGCCTCACCACCCTCCCAGGGAAGGATTCTTGTCCCAAAATCCCATCTTACCCTGCCCTCTGTCAATGGGGTTGGAAGGGATTTTAAACCCACTCTGTGCCTTCCATTAGAGCAGGTTGCTCCAAGCTGGCCTTGGACACTTCCAGGGCTGGGGAATCCTCTGGGGAATCCATTCCAGGGCTTCATCACCCTCCCAGGGAAGGATTCCTGTCCCAATATCCCATCTCACCCTGCCTTCTGTCTGGAAGGGATGATCCCCTTCCCACCCCAGCTATTCTGTGGCGTGACCTGCCCCAAACTGCTCAGCAAATCCACGTGAATTCCATTTATTCCAGCTTCATTTATCCCACTCGGCCTCCTGGAGAGCCCCCGAGGGTGTCCTTACCCTCAGCTGCGAAATATTTGTCCTTCAGGGTCCAGATGCAGAAGTGCAGGAGGAAGGTGAGCAGGATGAGCACGAACACGGCCACGGCCGTCAGGATGGCCAGGATGGTGGTGGACAGGGAGCTGGAGGGCAGGAGAGCTGCAATTAAAAGAGATTTAATCAAAATTAAGGAATTATGTGCCCAGATTGTTGTTACAGGAGAGATATTTCGAGGAAGTTTAGGTGTTAATTTAGTTTTTCGGGGGAAAATGAGTTCCCGAGGAAAGAGGGCGAGTTCCAAGTCAAGGGTGTGGTGGAGTTGTGGGATAATAAAGGAAGGGAGAAAGGGAGAAATAAAAGGGGGAAAAGGAAAAGGGAAAGAAAGCAGGAAAGGGAGTGAAAAAAGAAAAGGAAGTAAAAAAAAGGGGAAAGGGAAGGGGAAAGGGAAAGGGAAAAGGAAAGGGAAAGGGAAAGGGAAAGGGAA